ATAAGAATTTAGTTTTTAAAAGATCCCAGTCATCTAGCTTCTTTTCCACCTCCTGAGCATTCTGGGTTATGCTTGATAGTCTATTAATGCTGTAAATTAGGGCCCTTAGATTTTTCCCTATTTTATCTTTGATGAATTTTATAATTTTGGGTTTTACATTTAAGTCTTTGATCCAACTTGAGTTTGTTTTTGTGTATGGGGTGAAGTATGGATCTTGTTTCATTTTTATGCAAGTGGATATCCAGTTTTGGCAGCACCATTTGTTAAAGAGGCTATCTCTCCTCCATTTAATGGGTTTTGGTCCTTTGTCAAAGATCAGCTGTCCATAGATGAATGGGTCTATTTCTAGATTTTCGATTCTGTTCCCTTGGTCTATCTGTCTGTCATTGTACCAGTACCACAATGTTTTGACTACTGTGGCTGTATAGTAGGTTTTGAGATCCAGGAGTGTGAGACTTCCCACATTGTTCTTCTTGTTCAGTAGTGCTCTGCTTGTCCAAGGTCCCTTTCCTTTCCATATGAAATTTGTAATTGGTTTTTCCATATCCTTATAAATTTTGTTGGTATCTGGATCAGGATTGCATTAAATGTGTAGATTACTTTGGGTACTGTTGACATTTCCACAATATTCAGTCTTCTCATCCATGAACAAGGCAGGTTCTTCCATATGTAGAATCCTTGTAGTTTCTTGTAGTAGTGCTTTATAGTTTTCATTGAATAGGTATTTTGTGTCTCTGGTAAGATTTACTCCTATATATTTTATCTTTTGGTAGCTGTTGTATATAGTATTATTTCCTTTATTTCTTTTGCAGAGGCCTATTTTTGATGTAGAGGAATGCAGCTGATTTTTGTATGTTGTCCTTGTATCCTGCCACTTTGCTGAACCTCTCTATTAGTTCCAATAGTTTATTTGTTGAGTCTCTTGGGTTTTCTATGTATAGGATCTTGTCATCTGCAAATAGAGATAGCTTTACTTCCTCTTTGCCAGTTTGGATACCTTTTATTTCTCTTTCTTGCCTTATTACCCTGGCAAGGACTTCCAACACAATGTTAAATAGCAGTGGTGGTAGATGGTGTAGTAGGTAAATTTGTATGTCAACTTGGTTAGGCCTAGTCGAGTGCCTGGGCAGCTGGTGGTAGTTATTTCCCATGATGAGACTGGCAATCAAGTCCATGGTGGGATCTACCCCAAGCAGCTGAGAATCTGCCTTTGGGATGTGGTCTGTTTCCTGTGTATAGTCTATCTTGGGGATAGTCTCTAGATTATGGCACACTTGGACCCTGTACCTGTGTCATTGTTCAGCAGCCTGCCATGCTATGCTGACCTTAGGACTTAAAATGGACTTAAATTAATGGCCTGCCATGTGGTTTGGTAACATTGGGACTGTGCCTTTTAACTTGTGAAGCTTGGCCTTGTCAGCCCCAGCAGCCAGCAGCTGTCTGAGTGAAGAAATGCCTCTAGCTCCAGTGGGCTGGGATTAGGAGGCAGAGTTAGACCCCAAGGTTGAGGAGCTTTCACCCAGCCGCTAGAGCCTGACACTTGTAATTTGGACTTACAGCCTCCAAATTATAAGAGAACAAACTCCTGTTTGTTAAAGTCATCCCATTTGTGGTATGTTCTTGTCAGAGTGGTGCTAGGTAACCAGAACAGAGGGCATCGTTGTCTGGTTCCCATTCACAAGGGGAATGCTTTGAGTCTTTCTCCATTAACAATAATGTTGGCCATTGGCTTTGTATATATTCTCTTTATTATGTTGAGGAATTTCCCTTCTATCTCTATTTTGCTGAGAGTTCTGAACAGGAACAGTGTTGAATTTTATCAAATGCCTTTTCTGCGTCGATTGATATGATCATATGGTTCTTTTGTTTTGTTTGTGTGGTGGATTACATTGATAGTATTTCTGATGTTGAACCATCCTTGGATACCAGGTATGAATCCCACTTGGTCAGGATGTATTATTTTTTGATATGTTGTTGCATTCTATTGGCTAGGATTTTGTTGAAGATTTTTGTGTCTATATTCATGAGGGATATTGGTCTGTAGTTTTCCTTTGTAGTGGTCTCTTTCCCTGGTTTTGGTAACAGTGTTAAGCTTGCTTCATAGAATGAGTTTGGGAGCATTCCATCTTTTTCTATGTTCTGGAATAGCTTGAGTAGTATAGGTGTTAACTCTTCCTTGAATGTTTGGTAAAAATTCTCCAGAGAAGCCATCAGGGCCAGGACTTTGTCTTGTGGGAAATTTTTTTTATGACCTGTTCAATTTCTTCCTCTGTTGTGTGTGGGTCTCTTCAGGTATTCTATTTCCGACTGGGATCATTGAGGGAGGTCATATGATTCTAGAAACTTGTCCATCTCTTCTAGGTTCTCATATCTGTTGGAGTACAGTTCTTCCAAATAGTCTGTCAATATCTTTTTTTATTGACACAAGTGGGAACCATAAAGACTCACCCCTGCTTTCAGTCCTGGGGAACATGGCCATGCTGATATAGTGATTCACACTCACGTCCTCCCCAGGCATCTCAGGTAGTTGTCAGACCATGTCAAAGTGGGCATCCTAAGGTAAACAGAAGGAAGAATTTCAGGACTTACAGTACTCAAGGTGAGGACCCTGAGGACTGAGCGAATCACCCTAGTTGGAGACAATGCAGAATCCCTCCATTACTGTGAGCCTTGGAAAACCACAGGCATTTGTAGTCAGATGAGGCAAACGTATATTCTCTGTAAGAGATCTCTGGAAACATAGGGCCCTGGGATGAGTAGATAGGCCATATCCAAAACAGGGAGGACTTCCAAGTTGTTACAGAGTCAGGAGAAGGACTCTGGAGTAGTACAGAGGCCTCCAAGTAATCCAGGATAGAACAGTCCCACTTTCCTGTCATCACTGAGATAACCTCCAAGAGGTGAGAGCTAAGTTGCTCCTTAAATTCAGTCAAGGCACCCAAGGAGCTTTGAGGTATCAAGTTCAGGGAAACACAAAGGACAAGGCCCAAATCCTGCCAACTGTTGATCCAGTGACCCTGAAAGTGAACTGAGTAGACGCCCCACTTCCCCAGTAGAGAGGGGCCCCACTGCCAGGCCCTGCTGGCAACTGCAACCTAAACCTCACTCTAATTTCCTCCACATGTTTCTCAGGACAGGCTGAGCAGATCTGAAGCCTTCCGTGTTCCTAGAATAGTACCCTCTGAGAATCCTGTGTAGGCAGCCATTATTAAAGCCAAAGAGACATCTCCCTGCTGAAGGGGTTCACCTTCTTTCTGCCTTACTTTTACAGTGGGCTCACATCACCTCTCCTGCTCCCACAATCCTGCCTGCTTTCCGTGACCAGAGTCATCATGCCTCGTGGTCAGAAGAGTAAGCTCCGTGCCCGTGAGAAACGTCGCCAGGCCCGAGATGAGGCCAGACTCAAGGCCCAAGCTGACACCCACAATCCTGCTCAGGCCACTACAGGAGAGGTCAAAGTTTCTCCCTGCTCCTCCTCTCTTCCTTTTGGGAGTTCTCCCCAGAACTTCCCTGCTGCTGGCTTTCCCCAGGGGCCTGAAAGAGTTCCATCCACCACCACTGATGCTGCCTCTATAGGTGCAGAGGGCCAAGAGGAGGGAAGAGCAAGTTCCTCTCAGGCCCCACCCCCCACTGAAAAATCACAAAGAGATCCTCTCTGCAGGAGTGTCTTCATGTTGTTAGAGTTTCTGCTGGAGAAGTATAAAACCAAAGAGCCCGTTTCCAAGGCAGAAATGATACAGGTCATCAACAAAAAGTTCAAGGGGCAATTCCCTGAGATCCTGAGGAGAGCCTCTGAGCACCTTGAGGTGGTCTTTGGCCTTGACGTGAAGGAAGTCGACACTAAGGAACAATACTATGCCACTGTCAGCAAATGGGAATTTAGCAAGGAAGAGAATCAGTATGGTGGTGGGTGGTATCCCAAGAGCGGCATCTTGTTGCCTCTCCTAGGCTTCATCTACTTGAAAGGCAAGCGGGCAACTGAGGAGAAGGTCTGGGAATTCCTGAATGCTTTGGGTATCTATGATGGGGAGAGGCATGTGATCTTTGGGGATTCCAGGAAGCTCATCACCAAAGATTTGGTACAGGAAAAGTACCTGGAGTACCAGCAGGTGCCCAACAGTGATCCTCCACGCTACAAATTCCTTTGGGGTCCCAGAGCCAACAAAACAAAAGTCCTGGAATTTTTGGCCAAGGCCAGTGATACGCAACCCAGTACCTTTCAAGCCCTGTATGAAGAAAATTGGAGAGACAAGGAAGGGGGAGCTGAAACTGAGGTTGGTCCTCATGCCAGGGCCAGGGCCCATTCCATGGAATAGCCCAGCGGTTCTCACCCACCACTACTGAAATCTGAGGAAGATTCTTCAAATTGTTTGAAAGCACTTTCTGCCTTCAAAATAGTGGTGGAGAATTAGGGCTGGAGGCAACACAGTCTATGTCTTTATTTTGCTCTTAATCTACTTGGGTAACTTAGAGATTTACCTTTTCTTTCAGAGGGGGTGATAGTTTAAAACTCTGTTTCTTGCAGTAGAAAATTTCTTATGATTTGTAATGTCAGTTCACAAATGTCATAGATCCTTTGTTTATTGTTCCTTTCATGTATAAACGTAAGAGGTTTGGTAACAGAAATTTCTGGAATTTCTCTTCTGGTGAGAACAAGATAATGTGCATTAGAGTAGAGAGATTCTATTGGAAATGAGAATGATTCTCATAGTGGAATAGCTTGGATAAATAAAACAAAAATGTTTTACACTGACTGGGTATTTTATTTACATCATTTCCAGGAAGTTTCTGAGAAATAGGGTGATACTCCATTGAGGTGAGTTGTGAAGAAGTCACTCTTCCAGCCCTTTGTCTTGGGCTGAGGGAGCCAGAGCCCACTCCATTCAAAGGACATTAGAATTAGGATTGCCTGACTGTCCTTAGGCAAAGTCCAAGTGAAGACCACATTTTTGGTGGTGGTTTAATGAATGAAAATAGGGATGACTTAGATGGAAGGGCAGCTGGGAGGGGGAATTGCTGGCCCTTGACACTCCTTCTAGAAGCCTTGTGTTGCAGCCATCTGGACAATTCTATCCCACACTCATGTTAATAACAGATTCCCTAAGGTTGAATATTACCTACTTTTCCTTTCTAGGCAGCATTCAGTCTCCTTTGATTTGCTTTGTCCTGGATGACTACTGAAGCTTCCTGGGGTAAAAAAAAAAATCCTCAGAGTGGTGAGTGGTATCATCTGGTGTCAATACAATCATAGTTATAACTGCCATTCTTTAAGGACCTAAAACATGCCAGGCACTGGACCAGGTACTTTACATGTATAATGCACATTCCAACAGTTTTACAGGTTAGGACTCTCAAACTTTGCCAGGAAGAATTTCCTGATTTCACATTTTCACAGCTCGGCTGAATGACAGGGTTGTACTGCAGCCCTGATCTGAATCTGTCTGGATCCCACAGTGTTCCACTCCTACAACCTCAGGTAGATCTTGGGTCTCTTAATTCACTTTACAACTACAAATAGGGTGTGGGGGCAGCATCCTCAGATATCCTGCCTCACCAGGTGGGGAGAAAAATCAACATCAGCAGCCCGAGGCTTATTCCTATGAGGCCAGTTATGCCACAGTCCTCCAACGTTCTTAACAGTGAAGATACCAACCGTCCCCCCTACAGCACTCTCTACCTCTCTGCTGGGTTCAGTAATTGGTTTTAGTGGCCACAGAAACATCACAGACAATACTCATGATTATGGGATTTGTGAGGGAAGTAACAGGTTAGAATTCTGATTCCAAACCGCTCAGGATACAATTCTTCAATCAGGTCATTCTGCCCTCTGCCATGCCAATAGGCATGCCTCTTTAGCCCTTGCCCTCTGTCTTGCTCTGGCAAGTGTTACAGAGTTCTTTTAGCTCTGCCAATAGGTGCACCTAGTGTACCCCACTCAGCCAGCCCAAAGACACTCCGGTTTCTCATACCATGGGCGGGCAAGCCTGTGGCTCTGTCTCATGCTCTCAGTTATGGTTCCTCTGCTGTTCCCTCTGTTACTGCCACCTCTCTACTTGTCTCTCTGCCAAAGTCATCCAGTGCAGGGATCTCAGGTCCAAAAACACATTCTACTCCACCTCCACCTATACTCTCTTGATGGCAGTGAGATCCCCTGCCTCTGCCTCCAGGATGGCTCACTTTAAGCCTAGCAGAATGACAAAACTGACCAATCCAAACATTACGGTTGTGTACAACTAATTACCATGGTCCTCCCATTTACCTTACTTAGATTACTAAGAAGCTGCCCAATCCCCTTGGTAGAACACAGGTCTCTCACATTCAAATATTCCACCCGGTCATCAAGTGGGTACCACAAAGGCCCTGGCTAGAAGAGCCATAGTAAGTAATTCACTGCACCATGCCAACTCACTCCTACAAAATGTATTTTTAGGCACGAAAAGAGAAAATTTCCCCATAATGTACTTGATTGGAATTCAGAGCCATAGCAATAAGCATAACAAATCAAATGAGTAAAGGGAGGAAGATAGTATTTGGGGACATTTTGATCATGTACATGTGCAATGTCAGATAACCTGAAAGCATCTGATGCTCATAAAATCATCTTGCACAGCCCCTTTCCTGTAGAAAGGAAACCTTTTAGGACAGAAGTCAAAACAGATGCCAAGTCTGGCTGATGAGGTGATGAACTAGGTCAGTGTGTGTTTTCCCTGACAGCCCACCAGCTGTCCTGGGCCTCCTGTCTTATGCTGCAGCGTCCCCATCTCACATCACTCTGGCTTAGGGACCTATTCTGTGCAAAGTGCGCAGTAGGGAAACTGCTCAGGGTTTGCAAGGATGTGGTATTTCCCGGAGGCCTTTAATCCAAGAGACAGGAGTCAAGATGAGAACTCCCATAATCGAGGATGGGGTACTCCAACATGCCAAGCAGTGCTGTCAGGCTGAGCATCCCCCCACTTACTCCGTTCAGAGTTCTCAGGGACTGGTGAGTCTTGGCCTAAGTAGGATGAGCTCAGGTCATTAGACTGGGGACTTACAGCCTCGGACAGAAAGAGAGGGCTCTGAATGAGGAATTATGGAAGCATCCACCCAGAGAGCTGTAAGATTCTGCCCCTGCTGCCAGCCCTCAGAGTCCCTGGTAGCACAACAGTTAAGCACTTGGCTTCTAACCTAGAAGTCAGCAGTTCAAATCCACCCTGCAAGTCTAGGGGGGTGAAACCCCTGGTAATCTATTTCCATAAAAGTCACTGCTATGAAAAGTCTGTGAGGCAGTTTGACTCTGTCCTACATGGTCACTTGTTGTTGTTGTTATGTGCCATCGAGTCAAACCGATTCATAGCGACCCCTCCTTGGGTTTCCGAGGCAGTATCACTACGGAAGTAGGATTGCCCAACCTTCCTTCCAAGGAGTGGCTGGTGGGTTTGAACCGCCA